TTTTTCTTTATTCTATCATGTTCATCATATTCTCAATTTTAAAAGAAAATTTTTGGGCCTTTCAAGTTTTTTTTTAAAATTTCTTGGGATTCTAAATTTTAAAAATGACAATTTAAGGGGTTAAATTTTACTTACTATAATAGTACTTATTTATCTAATTTAATATTTTTTTATCATGATAGTTAATTTAAAAAGTAAAATATTTTATAAGGCTATGTTTTATTATTTCTTACCATAATAGTATTTTAAATTATAGAATTATTTAAAAAAATAATATAAGTTAATTTCTGTTTATCATTGTAGATATTTTTTTACTACGGTTGAGTTAAATTGTTTTGAATTTTTTTTAAAGTGTTACAGATTGGTCCTATTATGAATATAGCTCAAGGACTCTAAGGATAATTTTATAATAATGTTATATATATATATATATATATATGTCATATCATATCATATCATTTCATAAAAAATGAATTTAGGATAACAACAAATGGCTTAGAAAGCCTCCAAGCCATTCCACTATTTTTTAAAAATTTCTCCTAAGCAATGATATAAGGTTTCTAGTAGACCTGTGCAGGATGCCTATAAGCCCGAGATGCTCGACCCGACTCGAGCAAAATATGCCCAACCCGAGCCCTAAAAATATTGCCCAATACTATTTGGGCATGGTTGGGCTGAGCCTGATCTTCGAGTTGGGCGAGTTTAGGGCTGGAGTATCTAACCAATTGACCCTACCCAGCTTGAGATATAATATATTTTTTATAAAAATAATAATATATGATATAATTTGTTAACTTGATGGGGACATAAATGGTGTTTAATAGTTTATCTTCACTTTACTCCTCACCCGTTCCTTTTTTTTAGGTGCCTTGATGATTAAGTTTGTAAACTTTAGGTTGAATATTTTTATATTCCTTAAAATTTGGAACTGAACAACACTTGTGACTTGCATGAAAAATTCCTTTCATATTTGCTTTGCCATTAAGTTTTTTGATGACACCATAATATTTTTGCTAGTGATATTTAACAAACTGTTACTTTTAAAATAAGAGTTTGAAGTGATTTATTGATGAAAATAATTAATCTGCCACAGTGTATATCAAATTTGTATGGATGGTTCTAATTCTTTGTTTCGATAGGGCAAGGCTCGAGACCCTACTTGAGGTGCTCGATGTAACATCTTGATTTTTTTTAGATAAAAAAAATATTGTTGTAAAATTTAAATTTTTATTAAAAAATAATAATAATAATAGGAATTTATATTATTTGAGATTATTTAGAAATAATAATATGGTTAGAAATTTAATTATGAATTTAAAACTTAGGTTTAAAAATTATATAAAAAATATTTTATTAAGATATAATTTTAAGATTTAGAATAATAAAAAAAAATATATGTGTGTGTGTGAGTAAAAAAAAAAGAAGAAAGAAAGCAAAAAAAAAAAAGAGGTACTGTGGAAGTCCCACATCGTTTAGATGTGAGAAAGAGAGGCGCCTTCTCACATATAAAAGGAGGAGGCGCATGCGTAAGGAGCGGCAGAAGCAAAATGAATAATTTTGTAATTTGTGAAAATTGCAGCTAAAGGCCCAAGATGCAATTTAGAGAAAATTATAAGTAATGGCCCAAAGGTTTGAATAATTAAATTCAAACCTATAATTTTTTTAATATAATTTTGGGACCCACAATCCTATTTTTATATTATTTTTCTCTCTTTCTCTCACGTTGCTCGGCGTTTTCTCACAAGGGGGGATTATTTTCTTTTTCTTCAGGTATGTTCTAACTTTCCTGTTTAGATTAGCATTTAAAAATTTATTTAATTACAAAATTAATTTTATAGTTATTTTCTAAATAATATTAGCTTTCTACTGATATGATTATTTTATAGGATAGAGTAAATATTTTGATTAGGATTTTTCTATAGGATAGTTAATCTAATGATATGATGGATTAAAAATATAGGTTAAAGCTCTTAGGGATATAATAAATATTATAGAATATTTTTTTGAGGTTGAAACTCATGTTTAAGAATTTTTGAGTTAAACTCTAGATCTATATGGTTGAATTTATGTTGAGTATGAGATGTAGGGATGAACCTCTGATTATTAAATATTTATTTAAGTATGAATAGGTATTTTTGAGGTTATAGAAAAATAATTTGAGGCTTCAGGATAATTCTAAAATTTTTAATTTATTTTTGAACGAATTTTTAGAATATAGAAGGATGAAATTGTGATACTAGAAGTAATTTGAGGCTTAAAAATAGTTTATTAGGGTACGAGAATTTTAGAAAAGAATTTGGGAAGTTAAATGAGGCATAAATCTTAAATTAGTGTTAATATGGATTATAGATCTAAGACTTTCTAACTCTTTAAATTAGAATTATGTATTTTAATGTAAAAATTAATATATAGTATTATGAAATAACCATATAGATTGTGTTGACAAAGATAGTGGTGAAAGAGGAGTTGTGAAGGGGAACTTGTTATTCAAGACACAAGGTAACCATTTTAATGTGTTGTGATGGGTGTGTTTGTGAATGGTTATGTGTTGTTTTATTGTTTGAAAAAATTATGAATTAATGAAAATAATACTGTATATATATACTTGTTTGAAATTATTGTCAAGTGGGTCAAAAATTTATTTTTGTTTATCATGATGAGATATTATTGTTCGGATATATTCCTGTTTGGATATTTGAATGATGCATGACTTGTCAGGGTATTTTAATATATGGTGTTAATGAGAATTTCTGTTCGGTTAATTATTACCACGTGGTAAGCCCTCATTGGACCCAATGAGTGGCGTGTCGCTTGGTCCAACTCACCTTTGGCCGGGTGATTTGGCGTCCGAGCATGGCGAAAGGAGGATATAAGGTGCAGTCATGCAAATTAAATCCTTGTTCGGTTTGTTTGAAAATATTGTTCGGTTAAATGTGTTGTATGCCCACTTAGCAATCGCATGATTAGTTACAACCGCATACATAAATTACATATTAATTTTTAGTTACTGGGGCTTTTAAGTCTCATTCTCTGTGGTTAATATTTTTACAAGAGCAAGTCTGACCGAGAAAGCACTAGAGCTGTAACTATGGTGTATGAGACACCATCCTTTACGTTGCCTCTTATTTTGGATTATACAATGTATCTTGTGCCAACTTAGGACATATCTTCTTTATGAAGCATGTAAACTCTAATCTTTTTTATTAAAAGTATTTATATGATCAAGAGGATTATATCTGTCCCTTATGGTTTTAATTGTCTTTTTGGATATTTTAAGACTTGTGTTATGTCTTAGATGTATCATGGTAAGAAAATTTTCTACCTAATAATGGTTTTAATAATTTGCGAAAAATCGGTTTGTAAATTTGAGGGTGTTACACTCGATCCCTGCTCGACCTTGCCCACCCAGCCCCTCTAAAGTCAGGCATCTTTCGGGCAAGGTCGGGCTTTAGGATAGTTTTTTTGTCCGAAGACATTTAGGGCAGGGCATCGGGTTAATTGGCTGCCTTACCTGACCTTGCCCATGCACAGCCCTAGTTTTTAGCCACCTATCCCATTTCATTCCATTTTTTTAAAAAAACTTCCAAACATTACCTTAGAAAATACTCCTTTCGATCTTATTTATAAGATTTATAAGTCACATCATACTTGAGGATAGTTGTGATAGTTGTGATATTGGCTCTAATTAGAGTTTGGTGTGGTTTTGGCTTAGCAAATGATACCTTCTTTAGGAGTAGATATGTGTTACTAGTATAACCATGACACCCTACAAGAATTCGATTATTAGAGAAGTCCACAATCTAAGTTGAGGAAACGATGACCTTTGGTTGAATTATCCCTCTAATATTGTTGGGCTAATCTGGTCACATGAATTGGTCCTATTATAAATATAGCCCAAGGACTCTAAGGGTAATTTTATAATAATGCTATATATATCACATCATTTCACTAAAAAAATGAGTGTAGGATGACAATGCTTCAAGCCATTCCACTCTTTTTTAAAAATTTCTCTTAAGTAATGATATAAGTTTTCTAGCCATCCCATCCTATTTCATTTTATTTTTTTTAAACAAACTCCCAAAAATTACCTTAAAAAATATTCCTTCCGATCTTATTTATAAGATTTATAAGTCACATTAATCAATTTTTATCACAATTTTTTCTTTTATTCTCTAGTAAATATTGATGAAAAATATGTTATTAAAATATTTCTGTTTAATTAATAAGAGTAAAGTCAAAAAGTTATTGACATTTTAGGTAGAATTAATGAATTTATTATTTTTTTTAAAAAAATATTTTCTCATACTAATTTATAAGATACTTTTAGATAAAATTACATGCATTTTTTTTTGCCACGAACAAAATCACTGACATCAATAAAATTCATTAAATATACTTCTATGGTCTTATTTATAGAATAAAAAGAGAAGAAAAAAGTGAGTACTATTTATAGGATACTTATCAATTTTTAATACTTTTTATATATTTTTTTCTTATTAAATATTTTGAATAAAAATATTAGTAATGAAATTTAAAAATATTTATTAAAGATAAAGGTGAAAACTCATTAAATTTTAAAATAAAGTTAATAAGATTTAAATTTTTTTTAATTTTAGTAAAATATGTTGGAAGTGATTTATAAATAGGGTTAGATAGAATAATTTATAATCTTATTTTTCAAACTAAAAATATAAAATAATAAAAATATCTTTCTTTTAATATTTTATTTATAAAAATAATTAGAGAGAGAATATAATAAATATGATAATATGAGAAAAATATTATTAATAAAATTTTATTTTTATTAGGATGTCTTATATTTTATAATCTGAAAAGTAGTTAGCAATTTTTAAGTATTTACCAAACATTCAATCCTAGAATATATATTTTTTATTATTTGTTGACTGAGATCCTGGAATTTTTCAAATGCGTTTAGTGCAACGCAAGAATCTGTTCGTGCACATCCATCATCCACTCAAGTATAAACTATGAAGACAAATCCCGAAGAATCCAGCGCTCAAGTCTAAAATTATGACACTTAAGTACCCAACACCCCCACCAAAAAAAAAAAAAAACCAAAAGAAAACAAGAAAAAAAGAAAACAAGAACAAATATATTTGATGGCTTGATGCTGGATACCTCTCGCCTTTTACCTTCACTTCGATTTTTCAAATCATTGAATCGCTATAAAGTCTCTGAACCTATCCGTTCCTGATTGGCATCCTCAATTTCTCATGATGCCGTCTGCCATCTCTCAGTTGCTCCCGCCCACCGAAGCTTGCCTTTTCCCCGGCGGCTCTTCCCAGGTGTTCCGCCGTCAGCCGCCCTCATCGGCGCCCAAAAGCAAATCCAACGGGTTCAGAAGCGTAACTCGTAGATTGGCTGTGTCCGTTGACGAGGTTCCGGCGACGAGGACCATCGAGAAACTGACGTTGGAGAAGAATGAGATTGAATGGGAGGAAGAAGAGGAACGGGAAGGAGAGAGACGTAAGAGTGGCTGGAAGGCTTATTTGGAAGAGTCAAAGGAACTAATCAAATCGGATGGGGGACCGCCTCGCTGGTTTTCGCCGCTGTACGGCGGTTCGCGGCTCAACAACTCTCCTCTCCTACTCTTCTTGCCAGGTTAGTTCTTTTACTGGTTTGTTTGTTTGTTTATTATTTATTTAAAAATACCGGTCGAATAACCACTGTTTGTGGTGCGTGTTTTACGCATCGACGCCCACATCAAGGAAGTTTCAATCTTTTATGACTAGTTTCATGGTTTATAATTTTTCTCTGGGTGCAATTACTCTCAGTTTTATAAATTTTGAAAACTAAAAAATAATTTTAAAAATAAAAAATGAGAAGCTCTTTAAATCCATTTTTTTCCTTTTTATCGATCATATCAAGTATGCTCTAAACTCTTTCTCTGTTTTTTTTAATATGTTAAATAAAAAAAATTGTCTAAAAGACATTGTAAGGTTTTTTGGCCCAAAAAGACATTGTAAGGTAAATTATCATTTCAATGTCACATTTGGACTGTTGGTGTTACTAAAACGGTAAAAACAAAAAAAAATTAATAGTAATTTATTTTCCAATTAAATTTAAAAATATTTTGAATAAATTCAAATTTTTAAAAAGTGTATTTTTGATTGATTAAATTTTTTATAGTATCTTGAAATTTTAAATTATTAGTTGTATTAAGATTAGAAAAATTACTTGTCAATAAGAGGAAGAATTTTTTTTCTTTTTTTTTTCCTTGGGTTCAAAATGGAAAAGAACATTTCGATCGTCAATCTACACTTATAAAGCAAATTTGCTGATGGGGACCATGCAGTGACAGTGAAGTAGGATTGTTTAGCAACCTATTATAAAATCAATTTTCTGTTTTAAAAAAAAATAAAATAAAAGTTTAATAACACGTTTTCAAAAAATATTTTAAATGATAAAATTAAATATTAATTTGAAGATAAAAAAAGATATATTTTAAATGTTTTGAGATTATTATTTAGAGAATAAAAAATATGAAAAATACTTTTTTATTATTTTTTATTCTCATAATATCTACTATAAATTATCAGTTCTCAAACAATAAAAAATTAATTTTAAATAAGCTTTTTTTTTTCTAGTTTTGTTTAGAGTGATTTCTTTTTGGTTTGAGAAATGAGATTATATTTTACAATTTTTTGGTTTTTACTGGCACATTATTTTTTCAAATTTAATTACTTTTTTTACAAAAAAAAACTTACATAAATTATTATTTTACATCAAATAATAAAGGAACTAGATTTTATATGTGCGATGCATGAAAAAATTAAAACGGAATTGTCTAAATATATTAAAAATATAAATAATAATTTATTTTATTCTCAATTCTCATACAAATTATTTTAGAATTCATTTTTTTGTACATATTAAAATACAAAATAATTTAATAATATTCCAAATGTATTGCAGAAGTTCCAATGGATCATTGAACAAAATGCATCGAGATAAAAATATATTAATATATTATTAAAATTGTATTATCAGAAAATATTTTCATATAATTTTAATACTAAATAGTTGCAATAAAACATGTTTTAATTTTACTTTAAAGCATAATTTTATAAAATTTCCTACATAGAGTAAAATAAAAAAAAATTAAAAAAAGAAAGATTAGGGTGGAGACGGGTTTTACAATATATGAAAATGAAAATGAAAATGAAGATAAAGATTTTAGAAATGTAATTTTATCCGTTATCTTATAAGTGTATAAAAATTAGTGTATTAAACAATAAGTCAGGGTTTGAGACAATTGCTTCGGGGATGGAATATATATATATATATATATATATATATATTTATATATTTTGCCATGAGATAGCGTTCTAATATTATTTCGATATCGACCGTTTATTTATTAAAAAAAACCGTATTATTTATAAAAGTCATCATAACATTATAAAATTACTCCTAATTAAAGTAATTAAATATGGTGTGGCGCAGTGACGGATTTAAAAAAATTTAATAATGGGGCAATATTTATACCAAATATAAAAATAAATATTTTTTTTAAAATATAATTTTAAGTAATAATTAAAGTAATATATAAGTGAATTATATAAAAAGTTTAAAAATATATCTTAATTTCATTTACATCATAAATTTATTTTTATTATAAATAAAATGGTAAACAATATTTTTAAATGTGTATGCTTGATAGTTTTAAAGAAAATGTGGGGCAATTGATTTTTTTTTTGGGGACAATTGCAATTTTAAAGGGGGCAAGTATGATTTAAACAAAAAAGTAAGTGTAAAACTGCCTCTTCTTTCCCCAATGGATACATCCCTGGTGTGGGGCTCTATTTTTCTAAATATAAAATCAAAATTCTTAACAATTTATATATCGGATTATGAAAGTTCTTATAATATTACGAGATGTCCTACTTCCAAGAGAGTAATGTGTGAGAGGGTTAGTCTTTTAATCTATGCAGCACTTAGACACTTTTCACTATAAGATGCTACGTAAGTTCGATTTGTTAAAAAGGAGGATGCTTGGCTAAGTTGAAAAAAGGGAAAGCTTGAGAGCAAAGGTAGAATAAGAGAGCTTGGGAAATGTAAAACTTGTATAACTCAAGGATGATTACAAATGAGGAGGGATGAGGTATTTATTGGCTTCCCCTTAAATCTAGAAAATTCCACCTCCTTAATGGATGATGGAAATTGAATTGATCCTATGGCTATAATTGATTTTCTAGAGTTCTCTCTTAGATATTTACAACAAATATCTAGATATTTATATGGAAATATCTAGAGACAATATTAAAATGTTGAGGCTAAAGTTGTATTGATTTTTTTAGAATGTTCTTGTTCACTCTAGCTTTCTTAAGGCTAACCGGAAGCTTCTGGATGATTTTGGAGCATTCCAGAGCATTCAAGACCACTTTAACCTTACGAAAAATCATGAATCATGACATTCTCTCCTACTTAATTTTGTGACGCTCTCGTCGCACCTTCCTCTTTGTGGTGTTGCATTTGGTCAGGAACTGCTATATGAGGTCTTGACGTTCCCAACTTGCTTCAGAGTTTGCTTGACCCTTCCATTTGACTAAGTACTCGGTATAGTTGGGAACTCCTCTCTTTTTGATCACCCTGTCTATGAGGATTTTCCCTATTTCCTTCTCATACTTGGTGACGACCGCTGTTGGTGCTCTCTTGGAGATACCTTGAGATGGATCTTCTTCATCTTCGCAGTATTTCTTCAAGAGACTAACATGAATGATAGGATGAATCTTAAACTTGGGAGGGAGTTGTAACTGATACGCAACCTTTCCCACATGTTTGAAGATGAGAAAAGGGCCTTCATATCTCTTGACCAATCCTTTATGCACCTTACATAGTGACTTGAATTGATTTGGCAATAACTTTACTATCACCAAATGACCAACTTGAAACTCAGTGGGGTGTCGCTTCTTGTCTGTCCACTTCATCATTTTACAAGAGATTTTGTCTAGGTTGGCATGAGTAATGGCAGCTTCTTCTTGCCATTCGTTAGCAAACTTATATGCAACTGGATTATCTCCCTTATATGGAGCAGTAGGTGCATTGGGGGTTAGAGATTGTTGCGCGATAACTATCTCAAAAGAGCTCTTACTTGTCGACTCCCTTTGCTGCAGATTGTAAGAGAATTGAGCCACATTAAGCAACTTAGCCCAATTTCGTTGGTGTGCACTCACATTATGTCAAAGGTAGAGCTCCAACAAAGCATTAATCCACTCTGTCTGTCAATCGCTCTAAGGATGAAAGCTTGTTGAGAATTTCACGTTTGTCTTCAGAAGTTTGAAAAGTTCTCTCTAGAATTTCCTAATGAATTAGGGATCTCAATCATTGATGATTTTTCGAGGAATCTCCCATACCTTTCTGACATGTTTGAAAAACAAGCGTGCTACTTCATCAACTTTGCAATCTGTAAAGGTTGGCATACTTGCTAAATCTATCAACCACCACCATAATACTTCCACATCCTTCAGATTTAGGGATAGCAATTATGAAATCCATTGAGACACTCTCCCATGGTCTTTTAGCCACTCCCAGAGGTTTGATTAAACCAGCAGAATGTTGATGTTCAACCTTTTCTTGCCGACATACTAAGCAGGTCCTCAAATATGCCTCGACATCATCTTGCATGTGTGGCCAATAGAAGTGGTTTTGCACGAGAGCAAGTGTTTGTGCCATACCTGGATGCCCAGCTCACATTGAATCATGGCACTCTTTGAGGACATCCTTTTGAAAGTTGTCCCATTTCGGCACATAGACTAGGTTTCCAATGGTGTAGAGTAAACCATCATTCACCCAAAATCTTCGAGTTTTGTCTTCTGTAGCAAGCTTCACTAAGTCACTTGCAGTAGGATCTTGAGACATATAGTCCTTGATTCATCCAAGGGAGTCAGTCTGGGGCATGCCAGTGAGAGTAGCTAATTCAACTTTCCTACTTAATGCATCTACAACCATGTTTGCTTTGCCTGGCTTGTACTCTAACTAGTAATCAAACTTAGCAAGAAAATTTGCCAACGAGCTTGTTTTGGGCTGAGCTACTTCTATGTCTGGAAGTAGTTTGTAGCAACATTATTATTTATTATGGTGAACTTACTTCCAAGGAAGTAGTGACACCAGGTCTAGAGATAATGAATGATAGCAAACATTTCTTTTTTTTTTTGTATCGTGTAGTGTCTCTCTGTGTCATTCAGCTTGCAGCTCTCATACGCAATAGGGTGTCTTTGTTGCATTAACACACCCCTTATTGCAAAGTTTAAAGTATCAGTGTATACCTTAAAAGGCTTGGACTACTCAAGCAAGAACATTATAGGCTCTTGTGCAACCATCTGCTTTAGCTTTTCAAAAGCAACTTGGCAATCTTCCGTCCATTGCCAAGATCTATTCTTCTTGAGTAAATTTGTTAATGGAGCAACAATCGTTGAATATCCCTTGATGAACCGACGATAGTAGTTCACCAGGCCAAGGAATGATCTTGGCTCTGGGACTTTGGTAGGAGGCTACCATTCTAGAATTAGCTTTCCATCCTAGATCTTATGCCTCAAGAAGTCCACCTCTTGTTTGGCAAAAGAACACTTTTCTAACTTTATGTATAGCTCGTGGTCAAAGAGTACCTGGAAGACTTTCTTTAGGTGTTGAGCGTATTCGTCAATGGTATTACTATACACCACGATGTCATCCAACTATACCACCACGAATTGGTTCAAGTAAGGGTGGAACAACTTGTTTATAAGAGTGAAGAATGTTGTTGGGACATTCCTCAGTCCAAAGGGTATGACATGAAATTCAAATGCTCCATATCTTGTAACGCAAGTTGTCTTCAATTCGTCTCCTACGGCAATACATGCCTGATAATACCTAAATCAATATCAAGCTTAGAGAAATACCTAGCCTTTCCAAGTTGATCAAACAAGTCAGTGATCAAGGGTATAAGGTAATCTTGTTCTTGATGGTAATCTTGTTCAAGGCTTTACAGTCAATGCACATTCATAGCGATCTATCTTTTTTTTTTTCTGGAAGAGAATTGGAGCACTATATGGGGCCTTGAATGGTTAGATATATCCTAAATCAAGGAAATCTTGGAGTTGTCTCTTTAATTCAGTAAGCTCTGGAGGTGACATGCAGTAAGGTGCCAAAGCAGGCGGTTTGGCACCAGGCTCCAACTTAATCTGATGATCTATCTCTCTTCTAAGAGGTAGTTTCTTTGGCAGTTCATCAGGCATGACATGTTTGTATTCTTGCAGCACCTCTTCGGTGTAAGGTGACAAGGCTTCTTGTGAGTTAGTTATGTCGTCCTCTTCTGAATTCTCAAGACCCTTTTTAAATTGTGAGGTAGAAATATAGGTTTGAATTTCTCCAAGCACTTTAAAGGGATCACCTGAATCATATTTGTGTCGATAACCACCAGAGGTGTGGCTTCGGGAATAAGGAAGGCATGTGCTTTGTAGGAGAAAGAAGTTCCAACACAACCTTAAAATCATCCATAGGGACTATGGTGAAGTCTAACGTACCTTGTAAATCCCTGATCTTCACCTTTACATCCTTGGCAATCCCAAGGACTTGTTTTGCAGGAGAGTTAACTATCTTAATTGTGCCTTCTCCCTTGTTGAATTGGACGGCTAATCATTTTGCTTCTTCGACCTCCAAAAAGTTGTGGGATGCTCCTGTATCGAGCATAGTAGAGGCACACTTGCCTTCAATGGCAAGATCGGTGTAGAGTAGACCCTTTTCTTTCTCTTTGGCTGGATAAAAGAGTCTAGTCAAGGCACTTAAGTGTTGCAAGGAACCAAAGTCGGCTTGTTGTTCCTTGTCTTGTCTTGTCTTTCCTTCATCTCGACAATTAAGGCATTCATAGCCTTTCGGTTGGGGCAGTTGCGAGTACAGTATGAACCATTGCATATGAAGCACAACTTTGAGGGATCTCGTTTAGTTGAGGATGGTTTATTTTTTTTAAAACTTCCACCAAAGATCTTCCGGCCACCACGGTTGGAGATCTTCTTTTGTCCTCCTTTGTTTCCCCCACTCTTACCAGGATTAGGCTTTGTGCTCTTGGTGGAGTAGTTGATCAAGGACTCAGCAATTGCAATAGCCTCATCAAGAGTTTGCACCTTTCGTCTATTGAGCTCTACTCTTACCCAATCTTTAAGCCCATCGATGAAGTGGAAAAGAGCCTCCTTGACAGGCAAGTCTTCAATCTCCAGCATGATGGTACTAAACTCTTTGATGTAGTCAAAAATACCATCAGTTTGTCTCAACCTACGGAGCTTACCTCTAGCCTCCGTCTCAATGTTGTGGGGAACAAAGTGCTTGTGAAGTTCTAACTTGAACAGTTCCCATGTATTGAGAATGCGAATGCCCTTTTTGCTCTCAGTATGCTTCTTGTGCCACCATAGTTAGGCTACATCTTGAAGGAAAGTTGAAGCATTCTTGATTCTAATTAAGTCATCAGTCACTCCTATGGCCTTGAAGTATTGTTCTATACTAAAGAGAAGGTTCTACACAATTGTTGCATTGCAAGCCTCATTGTACATTGTTGGTTTAGGCACCTTTAGACCTTAAGAAATGGTGTTTAAAGTACTACTACTAATAGGGCTGCTTGCACGACGATGAGATTCTCATTAATGGCAAATCTCATCCATTTTAGAATATAGACCTCACAACTCGTCCTCAACATACTTGCGAAGGTCAAGATCATGGGTAAGAGAACAAAGATCTTTCCCTAGGTCACGGCCAAGTTCTTCAATCATCGACTTGGCAACATGCGTGATCGCAGCATTCTCTTGGATGAGATTGCTGAGTTGATCATCAAATTCCCTCACGGTAATCCTCACATTCTCCATGTGAGTTTTCAAGCTAGCATCATGGGGTTCAAGAGACTCACCTATTAGAACCTTGCTCTTGCATCGCCTGGACTTGGTTTGAGCTTCCTCCTCTTGTACATAAGCATGCTCTTGTACTTCCATGCCAATAACGTTTTCTTCCTCAGTTGCCATTGCGCAATACCTTCCTTTAAGCACAACGATTGAACTGTACTCTAATACCAACTGTCCGTGCGGCACTTAGACATTCTTCACTAGAAGATGCTAAGTAAGTTTGATTTGTTGAAAAAAAAGATGCTTGGCTAAGTTTAGGAAAGGGAAGGCTCGAGAGCAAAAGTAGAATGAGAGAGCTTAGGGAATGTAAGACTTGTATCGTTTGAGAACTCAAGGATAATTACAAATGAGGAGGGAGGAGATATTTATAGGCTTCTCCTTGAATCTAAAAAAATTTCCACCTCCTTAATGGATAGTGGAGATTGAATTGATTCTGCAACAATAATTGATTTTCTAGAATTCTCTTCTAAATATTTAGGAAAAATATCTAGATATTTATATGAACAATATCTAGAGACAATATTAAAATATTGAGGTTAGACTTGTGTAGATTTCTCTTACATGTTCTTGCTCACTTTAGCTCTCTTAAGGTTAACCGGAAGCCTTCTGAAGGATTCTGAAGCATTACAAACCACCTTAACCTCATGAAAAATCACAAATCGTGACAAATGTCCCCCTTCTTGCCTCCCATTAAGCTTTATGTAAGCGATGCAAGAGTTTCTGCTACTAGCTTCTTTGGTTTTCCTACTCGTTCATTACATTTTGTCTCTAATTTTGGCATCACATCTCATCTTCCGAACTCTAGCATCCGGCTAGAATTTTGTTTTATTTTAGGTAATCAAGTCCTTTTAGTAATTGTAAATATTTCTTTTTTTCTTGTAAGTTTCTTTTCAATACGCAACTACTTTTTGATAAGAGTTAATTTGTAATATATCTGGCTTAAACTCAACATATTCCAGAACTAATAACTCATTATATCAATGTTTTGAACGCAACGGTTAAACTCTCCAATTTTCATGTCATCTATATCACACACACAGGACAAAACCAAAGTTTTTCTTCTCAATTTTTCTCCAGTTAAAGAATGGATGGTTTCTATTCTTCATGTCTCTGGCGTCAAGCAACAGGCTAATCACTCATGAATTGTGTTATCTTCCAAAATAATCTCCGTAGAACTAAATTATTCTCGATCTTACAGGGATTGATGGCGTGGGACTTGGACTTATTTTACATCATCAGAAACTGGGAAGGTACGTGTTCACTTATTGTAAAGCCTTAGCTCACAATGTCCTTTAACTGTTTAACTAATTTGAGAACGTGCCTTTTGATTTCCAACATGAAATTTTTGAAGCCCAAAGTTTTCTGCTAGCTTGATGTTACTCTGATTTTATTAGCTGAAACATAACAGCTTCTCGTTTTCGCTTGAATGAAGGATTTTTGAAATGTGGTGCTTGCATATTCCAGTCACAGATCGAACACCATTTACAGGTCTCCTCTTTTTCTCTCACTCGTTACATCATTTAGTTTTGTACATTAATAATTAGTTTACCAAGTTGTGAGGCTTCAGTTAAAGATAACCACCTTAATAGAATTGATACAAAATGATGAAGAGCATGCTGATTGCGTTGAAAATGGGATCGCATGTTTCTCTTCTAACATGCTTTGGTAATGCAAACAAGAGGAAAATTGAATGCTATACTAGCATATTGTCTTTCAACATAATATGTTGCTCTACATAGTTACTCGTTGCAGAACTCGTGAAGATTGTTGAGAGAACTATTAGGTCCGAGAATCAAAGCTGTCCTAACAGACCCATATATCTTATTGGAGACTCTTTAGGAGCATGCCTTGCCCTGGCTGTTGCAGCCCGCAACCCTGATATTGATCTCGCACTAATTTTAGCTAACCCAGGTAACTTTTAACTTTTAAGCATTGCAGATGACATTTGGATTCACTGATTATGGCTAGTTGGATTAGGATATCTTGGCTCGACAAGCACGAACATGAGCGAATATGAGGGCTGAACTTTTACTCTTGATTACTCATGATGCATAAGTTATTACTGGTTCGCTGTTGTTGTACATCAATTAGTACATTCTGACAATTACCATACGGATGAAAAGCACCCTCTAAATAAGTGGTGTTGGATTATTGATTCATTGACGGCTAGTCTAGTTATCATTGGTAATAGTTTCATTGTTAGTAGAGGTTCTTATTGCTGATTTCTGTACAATAATGAAGTTGGTTTAGTTGTAAATTTTAATATGAATCTGAGTTAACTTTGCACAAACTACTCGACTGTTGCTCATTATCTTTCATTGTTGCAGCTACTTCATACAGCAGGTCGCAATTACAACGTTTCACACCATTATTGGAAGCTCTTCCTAGTCAACTCTCTCCTGGTGTGCCTTATTTTCTCAGTTTGGTGGCAGGTCAGTTTTATGAGTTCTGTAAGTTGGTATTTCATTTTTATATATATTCTCAAGTTCCATGTTAGATGTGTGTAGGCTCAGTTTTCCATTTTAAAAGCTCTTGCTTATTTCCAAATTCTTTTCTATCAGTCATAAGGATCTTATGCTTGAGTTCCTCAATATCCCCAAGCACAGTAATAATATTTAGGGAAAACTTTTATCATGGATCAAGAACCAATATGGTGTCTTTTGCTCTTGCCGAATAACAATGGCGTCTCTCCATTTGGTGCCTTTAAATTTTCTACTTACTTTAGGTGATCCTTTGAGACTGGTGTTGGAAAATTTGGTGAAAGGACTTTCCGTGCAAAATACTGCTAGAGAGCTTTTGGAGGATCTTAATATGTTGTCATCTTCCCTCCCTGTAAGATACAACTCTTGTTTTTATTCTCAAAATAATGGCATCCCTGCCGTTGCAACAGTGTGAGATGTCTTTTTATTTATGTCATGGATATGTTATGCAATGGATTCTGTGATAGTTTTATGGCATTGCTTAAAGCACATTCCAGAAGAAGTCAAAATTTAAAATTTGATAGTATATCCATTTCCTTCTTGTAAAAGTAACTTCCATAAGTGAATATGCTGGATTGTTTGAAAAGATGTTCAGAGTTGCTGCCTTTACTTCAATTTGTCTGTGAAGATCTCTGTTCTTCATTCAGTTACTTTCAGTATTGAAATTAGTTGTTAATTGAGTTTTCAGGTTCTAGCTGATATATTGCCTAGAGAAACACTTCTTTGGAAACTACAGATGCTTGAGTCTGCTTCCGCCTATGCTAATTCACGCCTTCATTCCGTCAAAGCTCAGATTTTGGTAATTTGCAGGTCCGTTCTCCCTACATTGTCCTCAGAATATGGAATCATGTCCTTCTATATTATGTTGCTGCCTTTTGTCCATAAACTTGAAAAAGTTCCTTAAAGGAAACAACAGAATCAACTAGTTTTTTATGAGCTTCTAATTTGTTGCAATGAGGGGAATCTATCAACTACAAGAATCATATTTTAACGATCTTTCTGAGGCCCATTCCTATTACTTTTGAATGTTGCAGCTTAGATATGCGATTTTAAAGGGTAGAACTTATTGTCTGAACTCTGAAATCTATATTGAGAAACTGGAATTTGTAATCAGAGCAGACTGTGATGAAATCGGTCTTGTACCTCCTTCTTTGTATTATACTCTTTATTATGATGTCTAATTTTTACTGATAAATTAATCCCATCTTTGCCATATATGCATGTTATAATTGTCTTTTTAAATTTTACAATTCTCTCTGGGATGTTGGGTTGAGCTTTATTATTTGTATTTTCAGTGGAAAGGATCAGTTACTGCCTAGCCAACGAGAAGGTGAGAGGCTATATCGTTTGATTCCAAAGTGTGAGCTTCGTAAATTTGAAGACAGTGGTCACTTCCTTTTCCTGGTATAGTTCTCTCCATGTGAGCTTTGTTTTATATGCCTTTTGATTGGAAAGATATGGAATAAGTTGAACTCTCTGACGGGATCCTAACACGGCTGCCTTTGTTCATTGGTAACAGGAAGGCAATATTGACTTATTAACGATCATCAAGAGCACTGCTTTCTACCGCCGTGGCAAGTATCATGACTATGCTTCAGATTTTATACCACCATCGCCTGATGAGCTTAAAAACGTATTGGAAACATATAGGTATGTACAATGTTCTTGGAAAGATGTAACATTTGTAAACACTTTGGGCATCTTACGTGAGAAGTTGAAAGAAAACCATTGGTCATGGTAAGGGTTTTTTGGAATATCATGAGGGATGAGCCATATATGTACAGAAGGTTAAAAACTTAGATAACTGACATTACACATTGCCGAACTGATCGTCTCCATCAAGTTATTTTTCTTCAGATTGATTGCATTGCATATGAGGAAAATAGTTCAAATACTGCCAGGTGCTGCCAGTTTACATTCATGTTGTTTCCAGATTGTTCAACACCCTCACAAGTGCCGTAATGCTCTCAACTTTGGAGGATGGAACGATTGTAAGAGGCCTTGATGGAATCCCTTCGGAAGGGCCGGTCCTGCTAGTTGGGTATCACATGCTTCTGGGATGGGATTTAGTTCCTCTGGTTACCAAGATTGCTTCAGAGAAAAATATCTTAGTACGAGGGATAGCACATCCAATGATGTTCAAGAGATCAAAAAACGGGAAATTGCCTGAATTATCTTCATATGATTTGTACAGGCTTATGGGTGCTGTTCCTGTCGCTGCAAATAATTTCTACAAGCTTTTCTATTCCAAGGCTCATGTCCTGCTTTATCCAGGGGGGATGCGTGAGGCTCTTCATCGGAAGGTAATTGCCAATGGTTAAATCTTTTTGTATAAGAGTCTTGGATGTCACTTTGTATTGCGATAATAAGCTTGAAATGGCTTGTCCAAAAGTTCGAGGGGAGCTAGTGAAACTAGCTGAAAAAACTTTATCCATTTTCACATTCCTTGTCTGAGTGGGAAATTCTTTGAATGAATTCATTGTGAAGGCGTTTGATATATGTCAGTATAATGTGTAATCTCTATCTCTTCAAAAATTTCCAGGGTGAGGAATACAAATTATTCTGGCCTGAACAAGCAGAGTTTGTTAGGATGGCAGCCAGATTTGGAGCCAAGATTGTACCTTTTGGCAGTGTTGGAGAAGATGACTTGGGTGAGGTATGTTTCAGAACAGACATCTTTTTCTGTACAATACAGTTTACAAGTACAGGAGTCCTTGACTACTTGCCGTCACTCATGCACAATCTTTAATGTTCACAATGGGGTTTGAAGAGAGAGAGAATATATGTCCATCGTTGTGCTGCATTAACTCCAGATCTATTGCTGTCTTGGATTTATTGGCTATAGCATAATAGATATCACGTTGGTTTCAGGTTGTTATTGATTATGATGACTTGATCAAGGTTCCTTACTTTAGGACCGAAATAGAAAGCTTAACAAAGGAGGCTGTGATGTTGAGGTATCTCATACTTGCCATTAGCTTTTCTAAACCAAAGAATCAAGCATTTTGTGCACAATTTCAGCAGATCCATTAGCTCTTTCTGCACCGTGATTGAATAAATCAAATAAAATCTTCATTAGCCCAAAAAGTTGACTTTTTTTTCCGGGCACACTCAGATTCTTCCGAAGGTCCTAAAACAGTGGCCTAAGGACTAGGACGTTATGCCTGAGCATCAATAGCATTTGATAATATTGAAATTCCACAAAAGAGTTGATGTCTCCATCTTTTTCCTTCTTCAATTCCCTATATAACTGGTACCTTTTGCAGAGGTGATACTAAGGGTGAAGTTGCAAATCAACAAGTTCATCTTCCAGGAATTCTACCCAAATTTCCTGGCCGATTCTACTATTATTTTGGCAAACCAATTGAAACTGAAGGTATATGCCAACTTAAAGTTCAATTAGTTTTACACAATCTATAATTGTTTTAACTTTTACTGGGTGTCAATTTTGAGTGGTTGCATGAATTGAAAGTTGATGTATTGTTTGAAAGGGAGGGAGCGGGAATTGAGAGATAGAGACAAGTCTCATGAATTGTATATGCAAGTGAAGTCTGAGGTTGAGAGATGCATTGCTTATCTGAAGGAGAAAAGAGAAAGCGATCCCTACAGATATTTATTGCCTCGTCTTCTATACCAAACCACGCATGGGTTTCCATCTGATGTTCCAACTTTTGAAATTTGAATGGTCTCTATACTCAGCATAGATAAGTGGGCCATAAGTTAACTTCCCATGGGTTAAACTCGGTTAATAACTTGAAGATATGCGAGAAAAAAATTTTTTGCCGACTCTTTCATCTTCTGTAAAAGTTAGATGGTACTAAGAGAGAATGAGAGATCATAGTTGGAAGAATATGTAGGTACGGGTATCTTCTCTTCAGTCAAATTTATTGATGGCGAATGGTGAATCGCGAATGGAGGCAAATGCTAGTACAGGACGAGGGACAAGAATTTATTAGTTTTATTGCAACTATGTTAATGCTATCGATACCTGGTAATGTCTTTTTTGCAACAGTTGAGGGAAATGTCTTGTTAAATACTGAGGCTGGCCTTACACGCATGGCGTCAATCACCTAATAATTTAATAGTATCATAAATCCTTTGTTTTGTTTTATTTATTTCAAGTTTTTGAGAGTCCCTATTTTTGGGGTCAACTTAGGTGGCCTCTTGTCAAATTATTCTTACATTTTTTTTTTTGGGTATTTTTCATCTTAGAGCATCTCTCTCTGTCTCTCTGACTTTTATAGAGCATAATAGTCTTATGTGGTTCGTTAGATACAAATGCAATAATGCAAATGTATAAATTTCCTGTTTGGATAGGATAAAAATCTCAATTTCTTGGGTCCTAATCACATTTTGTTGCCTATTTGGATAGGATAAAAATTCAATTTTGGGGTCATAATCATGTTTTAAATGAAAATTATCCAAACACCACTATTTTGTTAATCGATTAATAAGCCCTGAATCGCGTTTTACAGTAAGCTGGATCTGGGAGCTTCTAAAGGAGTATATTCTTTGTGTTGTAGTTCTTTTGTGCAGTGTTTAAGGTTATTATCTATGTTCTGTTGCTGTTAATTGTTAGTTAAGTTGGAAAGTTAATTTGATAATAATATGTTAGGATTGAGTGAGCTGATCATAATACGTTCGGATTGAATGACTTGAATCATTCTTTTATGATGGATATACTCCTTTCTTATACCAGACAACCAACGCATAAGAGAACCAATGTATTTGCTCTGTATTTTTAAATCTTTTGAGAGAGAGTGTGTAAACAAACTTAAGGTAGATGAATTGATTTAAATAAACACACTTTTAAATTAGAAATAGCAAGATAGAAATAGCTCGAATCATCATCCTATCCATCATGTTTCACCAAGATAGAATTAGGTTTCTGGAATCACCTAGCAATAAGTTTTGACTGGCATTGAATTTCCAATAACTGCCATACTTCTCCGGCCATAGGTAGAATTGGTTGGTCATACATGTTGGCAACACTAGCAGCAGATGTGAACAGCAAACCACAAATTGCTTGAGTCGTGTCCTTAAGAACTATTCTGGCACACCAAAACAACGAACCGACAGTTCTCCAAAATTAAACAAGCACTTTCTGTGGCAGAGTAAGGGAACAGAACAACAGAGACTAAAAAGTAAACATAGGCGAACATACGAACACAAGAGCAGAAGGTAGAGGGAGGAGAGAATTGCCCTGAAAATTCAAAAGGCTAGTACACCATTCTGTTCTCACCCATGGCTATATATAGCCTGAAGATGGAGACATAAATGTTGGCTTATAATTACCGAATTAAAGCTTCGATTGCACTCTCATAAATCACGTTTAAGCACTTATCTGGGGGTTACACAGACGTAAATCATAGCTAAGCCTCTATCTGAAAATGTTGACAGACAAAGCGTTTAAGATATTAACTTCACAAAACCGGTTTATTTGGAGACATTGGCGAACAAAACATTAACTCATAAAATCATTTTTCAAAAGAAGTTTAATGCTGAAATAACTGTCAAGGCTTCAAGTCCAAATTCAAAACAGTAAAACCAGAGGTTTTCGGGTAAGCTAAAAATAATTATTTATTTAATTATTTTTATAAAAATAACTTAGTAAAAGGAACTCATTGCCTCTTGAACTCGCGTGCAGGGGGCGAATCGGCTGATTTCAACTGTGATTGCCCTGTGTTAGCCTGTCTCATGTGTGCGAAGCCACTTCTCCTCCAAGCTCATTTTACTAGCCCACTTCATTCTTTAGTGTATATATACATTGGGAGATTCCTTCTTTTAATCAATGTGAGACTTTGACATACACACACTTTTGACACACATACAACAATACATACATGCCATCAAGTTCATAGACCCTAATACTTAACATCTCGATTCTCAATTTGCTCATTCAACAGTGTTTTTTTATAAAAAGAATGGTCGTTAATATTCTTATACTTAAAAAAATATCTAAATTTTTAATTTTACATTTTACTAAAATTAATAATTGCCATTTTAAAGAATTGATACATTGTTCTACTAATCATATAATTACTATGTTAATGAACCAACATCACATACATGACAAATGTCATGTGATGGTTATTGCTTCCTAGTTGGTCATAGTACAATAAAAACTAAAGTTGCATTTATTTTCAAATATTTTTAATGTGTCGGTCTTTGAATTTGGTACTTATGAAGTTGTGATTTTATATTCATCAATATATTAAAGTTCAAATCTAGAGCTACTATTGATTTTTATATTCTCATACAATTAATATTTATATAGTATAATGAATAATGATAAGTTAAAAGCTTCATGGGACTAGAGAAATACTAGAATATTTATTGACATATGTTTGGAACAAGCACAAAAATTGCAAAGAATTGGTGATAACTTCACCAAAGTGAGATGGCAAAATATAATTTTTGACTTCAATGGGAAGACTGGAAAAAATTATGGGATGCAGCAATTCAAGAACAAATAGAATAATATGAGAAAAGAGTGGCTGCTTTGTGATAACTTGGTTTCAAACGAGACAGCATTGGGATGGGATTATGCAAATAATACGGTGGATACTCTAGATGATTGGTGGGAAAAAAGATATTAGTATGATGTTATTATGTGAGGCTATGTATTTATTCTATTTATTCATGTATTTTATATATTATTAGCAATGTATGTGTAGGAAAATCCATTGTACGAAAAATTCATAAATAAAGGACTACCTTTTGCCAATGAATTAAGTAAGTGTTTAAACGTACCACGGCCAATAGACCTAGAGCATGGGTACCTTCAAGTGGAGTTTTGCCTAATTTTTATAATAGGAATGAAGGTAAGGATGAAGATGTATATCAAGTATGGCAAATGAAAGTATTGATTTGGAAGAAGGTTCAGGAGACAGTGATAAAATTTTAGAAACTACTACTAGAGTAAGTAATAAATTTAATATAGTAGTTCTGAATACTTCTTAAGGAACCTTAAGTAGAGGCAATGGTAAGAGGACGAGGGGTGAAAGCAGTAGTAGTAGGAAAAAGAACAAGGCACTTAGTATAAGTCAAATAGCAGATGCTGTAACATCCTGAAACTTTAACTTCTAATAATTAAGTGATTAAGCGTCATTAATAGAATTTATGTGGTGTGTAGTTAGAGGAGAATAATATGTGTTTTTAGTCAAAATTTCAAGTATAATTTAGGTCTAAAGTGAAATTGGGTTACTTGAGAATCAAAAAGTGGAGAAAAGCAAATAAAAAAGCCTCTGTGCCACATACTGCAATGAGTGCATGGTGTGTTGCAGTGCACAGGGCCACAAGGTGAGAGACTATCTTCTTTACACCACATGTCGCAGCACATGAGGACAAACACCGTGGCACACGGTGCAAATTTTGCAGAAATAAGTCACAAATTGATGCAAAAAATAGAAGGGAAAGAAAAGGAAAATGAAAGAACTTGTATTTGTTCTACTAGGGGTACAATCTAGGGAAGATTTTAGAAGGTTTGAACCCTCAAATCATCTAAGGTAAGATTCTTAAATCTTTTTTCTCCCTTTCTCTTTCATTTTCTCAAGGATTTGAGTTAGGGTTTGAATGAGGATTATGATTTTGGTTCATATAGGTTATGAGTCTAAACCTATTGACTCAAATGAAGTCAATGAGAGTTGTTTAGAGTATTTAAATCTGATATTAATGATTTTAATGGTTGTTGGATGGTGAGTTTTGTAAATGTTTAAAAATGGACATTAAATCTATAATTATTATAGTTATTGAGGTATCAATGGCAATGTGAGTATTCAATGAGGCTATATAATGTTAAGATAGTTAATAAACCTAATGGGTAGATCTAGATGTAAGCAATGTGGGCATTGGGTGAGTTAGAAATGGAAAGTGAGTTGAGAATTGTGTGTAATTGACATTGTTGATGAAATTCAACTTAATTTATTATAGATTGAGCTCTTGAACACTATTGAGGCTTGAAAAATTGAACCTAAAAGCTTAAAATTGAGGGATAAATATTTGACCTCTCAAAGGTTTGAGATAACCAGAAAAACCTTGCTTTGAGATATGTTAATTGTATTATGATATTAAATATGTGTTGTACTTGTGAATTGTGATTGGCAAATGTGTGTATCATGCAATGAAAATTTATGTTTATATACTTCTTCAAAAATGAATTGTCAATATTGCAAATGTGATCTTTTGAAGTGAATGGCAATTAAAATAATATGTGAAGTTGAATAGTTGATGATGATTGTGATATTGAGGGATGGTTGGATTTAAAAATAGTGGATTATGTGATAAGTATGAAAAGGAGTATTGATGCTCACTTGGGTAGCGCACAGTCGTAAGTCTAATGTGTTGTTTTCAATAATGTTTAAATGAGCTTATAAAAGATGAATGAGTATCATATATGGCATGATCAGTGAGCGGGAGTTAAAACTTGTTATGAACATATTTTTCTACTTAAAGTTTAGTCTAAAATATTTGTATTATATTGTTGAATTTGACTTATGTAACTCTTTGAACTATTTATGTGCTTTTTATATGTGCTATTGAAGTATTTTAATATTGTCAAAAAGTTATTGATATTTGCATAGTTCAATTATTTAAATATATTTATAATTGAAATTAAGTGCTAGAGCTGATAATATGGGTTGAGTTATATAGGTTGCCTCGAATAACTGATAATATAGGTCGAGTTAGGTTGAAAAAAAATGACCTAAATAAAAATGGACTTTTTCTGACCCGAACCATATAACTCGTGAATTATATAGGTCAACCCGTTTAACCCATATTTTTAAAATAAAAAAGCAAAAAAAATTTTGCTAAAGAGGGAAAAAAAGGAAGACATGACAAGCGAGCAGAAGTGCGAAACAAAGCCAACTAGAAAAGTAAGCCTCAAATTAAAAATCAGATCACATAAAAAAATTTAAAATAAAATAAGCAATTAAACATTAAGAAAGCTTCAGCAAGGCTTTGGCATCAAACTAAAGCAAAATCTTTAGTCATTCTCATTTCTCTATCTCACTTGTAAGTCTTCTCCATACTTGAACGGTCTTAACTTTTAGCTTTTAAATTTCAATCATCTTTCCTCCTTGGTCATGACTCACTACTCAACGTGCTTGT